ATTTGCAGGAGTTTCCCTTTTAAACCAAAATTTATAGGAGGAGTATTTAAATCAAGCAACGTGATTTAGTAAGGTTTGTGGTAGATTACTAGTATCTGCACTATTATTCAATGCCCCAAAACCATTTTGCTCTTGACATGGTCATTATGGAAATGTGCAGGACTGTGTTCTTTAATTTATGCATCGTCAGTAGATCACTGCAGACCTTTCCACTCCCAACTGCTTCTATGGAATTGCGCTGTCACACTAATTTACCGTTTAGTAAATTTGGCCCTTAGTCTCTTTTTGATTGCATTAAAAACCTAATAAACTAGTTCTGTGTAATATACTGTTGAGTCAATCTGTTTTAGTTAAGCTCTTTTAAATAAAACCTTAATAAATCTATTAACACTAAGTACAAAGAACTTCACATTGTTACTTTGTGAGCATTGTAACTGGAGGGAATACCCATAAGCCCTTGCTCTTGAATAATTATTAAATTAATAATTAAATGTATCAATTAAATGCTCAATAAAAACACAGGGATTGGGATATGTAAATTGTTTAGAATGATTAAAGGCTTTGAGCTCGATTTAATATTGTGAAGTTTAGTTAGTAAATATCTGTAAACAGTATGTTCCACTGAAGGAAGCAAGTCATAGCAGGATGAAATATATCACAGAACCTTTATTTTTGGGGGTTTAAACATTTAATCTCCTTCTGATATTACAGAGATCTCATCTTTTTCCCATGTTAAAGGAATAGCTCATCCAAAATTGAAACTTTGCTTAAAATGTACTCACCACCAGGCCATCCAATATATAGATGATAGATCTTCTGATAGATCATCTTCATGTCTTGTCAAGTGAAAAGCTGAATGTTTTTATAAACAAATCCATCAAGGCATTTTTAACTTCAAATGGTTTCTTCAGGCTGTCTCCTCTATCCATAATGTTGTTTTCGCCAGTGAAAAAAGTTGTCTCATCTGAATCAGGAGAGAAATATGCACAGATCAAGAATCGTTTACAAGCAAGAACAGTCCAAAACAAATATAAACACACATTGTGATATTTTTATCAGCTGTTTGGACTCATTCTGATGGCACCCATTCACTGCAGAGGATCCATTGGTGAACAAGTGATGCAACGCTAAATTTCCCCAAATCTATTTCCATAAAGAAACAAATTCATCTACATATTGGATGACCTGAGGGTGAGTAAATTTACATCAAATTTTAATTTTTGGCTGAACTATTCCTTTAACCACCGCAACCTTATCTGCTGGCTTGTGATAAAACAGACTACTGGTTTTCATAATAATTAATAGGTTCTTGGTCTTTTTTAACTATATCTTGTACTGTGTGGGTGAACTGAGCAGTCTAGATCATCTCAGCTATTAATTAGCTATGATATATCTTCTGGAAAGGCGATTTCTGGCTGGATGTTGCATAAGTTTTTCCAACCTTTTGTTCCCTGGAGAGAGTGCAACCATGTGCTGCTAAAGATCAAGAATGGGGCAGTTTTCTTCCCCACTAGATATATTCCCTTGAGGCCTAATCTTTCCCAGCAATACTGTCAATTGACACCCACATCAATCTGAGATCATCTGTCAATCATCTGTGATGCAATCACACTTTTTAAATGATACTCTGAAATCTCATCTATCCATAACAAGGAGCATTTTTAAACCGTGACATGATCATGTCTGTCTATTCCTATTTTTATCGCACAGTGAATTTTGTTCTTTTGTAAGCATTAACTAAAATGTACTTGAAACCACAAATTAATGTAAATACCGTGGCTCCGTGTAAAATATGCCTATGCATTATATAAATAAATATCAAACCAAGTAGCTTTTATTTAAAAAAAGCTAAAATATTACACAAAAATATTACCTATACAAATAGCTTCCTATTGTATGGACAAAAATTACAATGGCTGTAAAAGGTAACTGAAACCTTCCCTTTGTGTGTGACAAAATTAATACATAATACTTTTTTTTTTTCTGATCACGTCAAAAACAACAACCACTGAATATTCTCATGCTGCGGTTATTTTGTTTCCATCCATATGCAGTAGCCGATATTCTGCAAGTCCAGTAAAATCTAAGCAACTTACATTTTACAGACTTGTTGCTAGTTGTCAGTTTTGCGTCACCAGCGAAAGATGCAGATGCAGTCAAAGCAGCCGAGCAACACAGAAGTGGCGTTCCTGAAAAAAATCAGTGCTTTTAATGAATCGGTTGAGTGAATGATTCAATGACTTGCATGTAAGGACAGAAACCTACTTCTTTGATTCATAACTGAATGAGCATTTTGAACAAATCGGTTCAATGAATGCTAAAATGACTTACTCATAAAAACAGCTACATGTCATCACCTACAGTGGCGCATCAGTGTAACCTGGAAAACAAGTCAAACACAAGTCCGGAACAAAACACAAACAAGTGGAGTGATACAAACAGTGCAATGTCCCAGTGCTACTGGACTGGACTGGAACCAACTGTTGTATAATTACTAATATTCAAGCAAAAAAATGTATTCAAAAAAGGTATTTGCAACTTCTGACAATTGTATTGCAATTTTCATAATTGTGAGTTTATAACTCAGAATTGTGAGTTAACATCTAACAATTCTGACTTTTTTTCAGAATTGTGAGTTTGTAATTGTGACTCTTTTTTGAGTCCTCCAGTTCGGAGTTTAAATCTTGGAATTCTGAGAAAATGGCAAGAAAAAAATGGCAAGATTCTGTGATATAAACTCAGAATTGCAAGAAATGTTTTTGGAATTGTGAGATAAAGGTTGCAATTACTGTGGCAGAAACAATCTTCCATAGTCTAGCATGTTTAGCCTACATAGAAAAGCAGTGGAATACAAAATGTAAAAGTAGTTTTACTCAGTCTTTATAAATCAGTCTCAACAAAAATTCTACAGCAGCACACATGCAATAGAAAGTGACGTCTGCATTTTGGTATGATTTGCATTTTAAAAACAGTATGACTGTGCTCTCCAAGAAAATACTCAAGAAATACAGTAGATAGATATAGAGCATATAAACCGAAACCAAATCAATGCACAAATTGAGTGTATTACTCCAAGTTTTAGTTTGACATTTAACACGCCTTTTACTTCAACTCACACAGACTATTTCACAAAACAGATTTTTTTGGTCTTTTGTGCCTGTGCACTCTTGGGGCATCATGATTGGGGTTAATAGAGCACACAACAGCCAATATCTGGACGCTGTCGGGTCCCCTGAACACAGCACTCTTCCAGTAGGAGGTCGTTGACTGGGCGAAATGTCAAGACTCCTTTCCGAACAAGAAGGGATGGGGGCGATGCATAATTCATGGGGGGAGTTCGGTCGAACACAGTGCTGTGTCTGTTTAGCTGTCGCTTCGGCAGGCAAGAGAGAGAAGGGGGAGATACAACACTGTAGTGAAACACCGGAGCTAATTTGCCATCTGGACCTCATATCAGACAGCTTGACGTGTTCCTGGAGGACTCGACGCGGGGCGAACTCTTCATGTTAACCCCCTCTTGAGAAATAGCAGATTTAGTGCTAATTATGACATGCCGGGATGAGGTTTGAGCATCCAGAGCTTTGTTGGTTTGGAGAGGGCAGGGTTGGCACAAATCGGAGAGGCTCTTCTTCAGGGTTATGAGGCCAATATTGATCTGACAGCATCTCAAAGAGGAGATATATGGAAAGACATTTCCTTGAGCGTGCGGATGCAGCCAAGTAGCTTGAACTTTCTTTTACTAACTTGTTTACAATGACAGATTTTCATCGCTGAAGGTTGCAGTACCGCCGGTCGCTGGTAGACGATGCTGCTGGGAGTGTGGAATTGGCTGTAGATTTTGAAAACTAATCACAAATGAAAAAAAATGCCTACATCGTCACCCATGCTGGCAAAAACAGCTGAAAGTGAATGACTTACGGTGATTTTGTCGCTGCAAATCATGGTTAGTATGAACAGCCCCTTTAGTCCAACAAAGTTTTGAGACTCAGACTCAGCCAAATAAGCTCTAAAACAGAAACACATTTACTTTCTGATTAAACACGAAAATTCAGCTTTGCAATCACAGGAACAAATTACATTTTAAAACATATTCAAATAGAAAACTGTTCTATTACATTGTAATAATATTTCAGAATATTTACTTTTTCATTAAATAAATGCAGCATTGGAAAACATAAACAACTACTTACCTTACTTATGTGGTTATAAATATAACTTCAGAAATAATCTTAATTATTCCAAACTTTTTTCAAATGAAAGCTTAATTTTACTGAATTACAGTTGTTTATTTTAATTTTCATGTACAAATGAGCTACATCAAATGTTCAACAAGTGAAAAATAAACTCAGTTTTTGCTTTTGCAGGAAAATCCATATTGTTAAATAAAGTAATAATAAATGCATAAAAAATGAATAAGTTGATCAATACCAATTTCCATTTGACAAATGTATATTTCTCACCATTGATTTGGACAACGTTCTCATTATAAAACAGAACTTGGTGGCGTTCAATTCATACAGTTTGGTTACAAAATGTAATTATTAAATTAAAATGCGGGAGCATATAAATAAATTACACTTTCAAGTTGAAATATTTGAAGATTGAGGGGCTGGTCGAACCTGAACAAATCTCAAAATGTTGCCTTTAAACTAGGAGTTAAAACACATTCTCTATATTCAGATCTTGACATTTCCTTACACAATCTCCTATAAAATGAGACTACATATGTACACTCAAACATTTCAAACAGTGTTGGCATAGTCAATGAGATCACAGGTCGTGTTTAAATTACTCAGTATAACAGTATGAAGTTTATTACTGTTATGAAGGGCAGGTAAACTTGAGAATCTCTTCAAATAAAACTGTACAGAGATGTTTGCAGAAACGCAAAACATAACAAATCCAGTATTAGGCAGCAAAGATAAAGGTTTTAACTCATAGTCATGAGTATAACTTTAAGTCATTTTATTTAGTTATTCCGATACACAAATTTTCCAAGGATGTACATTAAATAACAGAGGAAAGGGCAAGTCCTGTTTTAAATTCGAGGGTATATTAACAAAGTTTGTAGTTTATGTATAGGTCCACACAAATGTCAAATGACGCTGGGCGATTCGTCAAAGGCTGGATAACTTTCATTGGTATGTTCCACCAAAGGATTCCCAAATAAACCTGATACATGTATCCAGGCGCATTAAAGAACAAAGTGAGGCATCCAAATGTGTTTTAGTAAAATATGCATCTGTTCCCACTGTCTCTCAGATGTCCGTTTGCAGTGTCTGACTGAAGAATATCCAGCAAAATCCATTAAAGAAGCACTGAAAGCATGAGTGGTATCATGAGAACAAAGCTTGATGCGACTGATGAAATGCAGGTAGGCACAAATCCTCTGCCGGTGGATTATTTTGAGGAACAAAACAGTCCCTTCAGTGTATGGTGGGTATGTCTCCAATCCAAGCTCCAGGTAACGGTCTGGGACATGTGTATTCATTCTGCGGGGAACAAACAAGACGTAAAGTGATTACTACTGTACAAAAACATGAGGTTCAGCTTAGTACTGATACAGGGGTCAATGACACTAGGCTCTTTTTTTGGTGGGGATATTTCATCATTTCTGGATAAAAAAATAATTTTAATATTTTCTGCGAGCAGAAAGTCAACATTGTCAGGGTTTTCTGAGAATAAAGAACAAAAACAGAATACAATTTTTGAAAAAGCCCATACAGAATGTAATATTTGTCATATGCTGCCCTATATAAATAATGATATTGCCATATACGTTACCTATAAGGCGATATATATTTTTCACATATGCACATAAAGGTTTCTAACAGTTTATAAAATCTCCATAGTAAAATTTGTATATGTACATATGTTAATAATATCTAGATGATTATTATTTTATATGGTATTATATGAAGCATATAACCATACAAGCCAACTATATATATATATATATATAGTCAACATAATCTTTATTTAATTATTATTATTTTTTATATATTTTATATAACAAAATTGGTTCACTACTTAATATTTGACATGGTGTGACAAGCATAGCACACTCACATGTATTCAAATGCAAGAAAAAAAAACTTTTTCCCTGATGGTTACACAACAATTTTTTTCACTTTTCTATGTAGTTAATAAATGTAAACGTAAGTTTCTCAGTACAACATGAATCCAATGAGTACAAAGAGCACATTTCTAAAATCTCAGCTCTAAACTAGATTTTTCCCCCATTTTCTGTATCTTATTTGTCATTGACCCACAGAGCAAAATGTTAATTAAAGATAAATCTGATTATATTAAAGTGTCAGAATAATAATACAGACACACCAATTCAGCCGCATGCAATTTTAGCGTAAAATGAAATGTTCATGCATGGCCAAAAAAAAAAAAAAAGGTTTTTGAAGCAGCACTGGATGATTTGTCAGCTATCAGTTAAGGAAGTCAGAAATCGAAATATGGCAGCACATTGTGTGCCATCTTTGTTAAGATGTTAATTAGAGTTGAGACGACTGAATTTACTCAGCTCAAGTGACCTTGCTGTCATGAGCACTTTGTCTTAAATGGATTAAACAAACTGCTGCGAATACTAATTAGCAATATGTATTGAGCACAATCATCATTATCTCAATTATTCCCAAGTTCAACTAAGGTTCTTTCAGAAGCCATGGGAATAACGGCTATACTGTCCAATGAGTCAACTTGAAGACATCTTTTCATACAAAGATTTAAGTAATTACTTGCTAAAATGAGGGCAAAAAGGGATGCTGCGTTTTCTGAGAATAAAAATCTTCATGGATGATAACTTTCTCGCTATATATATATATATATATATATATATATATATATATATAAACACATAGTGAATGGCATGTTTGTCATCTTTCTAAGGGAAAGTTGATGCAGCTTATTCCAGTGGACACTTTTATTGCATGGCAAAGTGCAGCTTGAACATTCTGCTAAATATCTCATTTTGTGAGCCACGGGAAAACAGTCATACACACAAAAAAAATTATCCCTTAAATGTTTTCTGAACAGAGAAATGGGACATACGTTTCATAGTTTCTGCAAACAATGCGCAAGTAGCAGATTTTTCCGGAGGAAGCTCTCGGAGAGAGAGAAATTTGCAAAAGTAAGGGAATCTGTGTTTTAGTTATAAAGACATGTTTTGTGTTTAACACCTCAGAAAACTAAAAATGGCAGCTTTTTACCACCATTGCGAGACTACGTTTGAGCTGCCTGAGGATGAGCTTTGATTTTCTTGTAGTCAAACTGGCTGACACAAGCTGTACCCCAGACTTACAATTGAAATTAACTTCTAGTGAGGCTGCAAGTGTTTTCAGCGAGTTCTTTCACTGAGATACAACAGCCTATGCAGGCCTCTATATACAGCCATTGAAAATGTCTTGGGTGTGTATGTGGAAAATTATTGAGCCGCACAGGTAATATTCATGGATTGATATGTCATCAAAACTCCAAAATTCATCTGACCTTAAATGCAAATGATGTTTCAACTGTGCATTCTGCTCCATTAAAAACGGCATCCAGTATGTACGCCCCAATGCAAAATTAAAGTATACTGCGTGCATATTAATTGGGTCATGCAGATGTTGCTGGGTAACCTTCCGAGAGTGTCCAGTAACTCATTAAATATTCATGAGGATACATATTTATTAGTTAGTGAGTGGATTTGCAAACACCTGGAAATGTCAAATCTACCACTGACAGATTGCAAAATGCATTATTGTGGACTGCAGGCCAATGATAAGAACAACAAATGCTCTTATGCAAAAAATTTGACTAAAGGGCCCTGTAATGTATGGAATGAAGAATCCTTACAAAATAGCAAGCCCTTCAAGACACTCAAGACAAAAGCTGGGAGCAGATGCACACACTAGAATGCTAAAAACAAACTTAGCATAATAGATTACGTTTATTTACTTGCACTGTGCTGCTGAAATTCAAAATTCCAATTGGCAACCTTTGAGCTTGATCTTTAACTTCAGAAGGATTGTAATGCAACATAGATGACATATTTGTTATTGGCTGTGTTCGGATAAGATTATATAAGCAATATCTGACTACAGACTGTTGAATTACATGTTATATTTTCTAATGCATGCACAAATTGCATGTATTCTGACAGCGCTGCACGAACTCGCGGCGCCAGGGTTCAAAGTTCAAAGCGTGAGGAAAATCTGCGCTGAACTTGTTAGCCTACTCGTCAGTTGCTCAGTAACATTTTTGTGAATATTTTTAAAGCCATGTGACATTGTGATACGTGCGACAAACATCTTCCCAAATTCGTAATGAGAATCATTTATAAATCTGCATGCTGTTGTCAACAAACAGAAGCACTGAGATCTTCCTGCGGGTTTCTGCCAAAATAAAGGCCAAGAAAAAGCAACAACTCCATCGACATTCATAAATGACAGTATTGTAATTTTACTGTCGTTATGTAAAATAAAATAAAAAAGACAATAATAATGATAATAATAATTACCCTACAACAGCTCTATTAATAAATTTATTATAACATTCACACATAGTGTTCAAATTGGGATTTGTAATATATTCTAATGTTTTAAAAGAAGTCTCTTCTGCTCAGCAAGGCTGCCTTTATTTGTACAGTAAAAAATACATGCCTGATTCAAGTCTCAAAAATGGCCAAAAAATATTATTTTCCTTACTTATTAATTTTAAGCTAAATTGTGCTTTGTTGGTATAATGTCTGCTAGAATGTTAAAAAATGTTCAGTGTTAAGTAAATATTTTTAAATTGTGAAATTGTGCAGCCCTAATAAGCATTTTAAACTGTAATATGCTACCTTTTGCATGTTTAATTCAGCAAGGACTGTCCATTTATTATCTTGAAAAAAAAATTGCACCTTATTCCAATTTTGTGTTAAAACTTTTTAACGTTAGTCCAATTAAAAAAAAATGGCACCCATCACTGGAAATGAAGAAAAAGTGAAGCACAATGCATTGTGGGATAAAGTATGGCAACTCATTTTTTAAATCGGCATAATCCATAATAATAATCAACAAGTTTTATTAGCAATTATTAAGGTCTTTGCACTACGAATATTTCTATGACAAAAACACAACTTTTACAGTTGCAAATGAATGAAGTGACTGAATGTTGCTGTCGCCATTAAACTGCAAATCCATCTTAACTTACACTTCCTATCCATTATATTTATTTTTATATTACTTTTTATTATTTTGGTACACAACACAGCATAAATGACACAGACTTCAATAAGGAATATTTAATTGTTCAGTTTATCAAAGACACAATCAACAGATGAATCAGAAAATAGTTGTTGCTTACAGCTCTAATGCATATTATACATGCTTCACACTGGAGAAATAATAATAGCAGTATGGGAGCATGCGATTGGAAACATATGTACTGTTATGACAGCAGTGACACAATGACAGGGTAAACAGCACAGTCCTGTCATTACTGACAACAGACCAGCCACCAATCAAAAAAATGACGCGGCAAAGATGCGATAAATCAGACAAGGTGGTTAAAGAAGATGAGCATGGCTGGAAATTCCAACAAATAGACACACAGAAACCCCCGGTGGTAATGCTGACTTTACTAATTAGTGTGCTAATACGTTTTGCCTGGCTGAACCCTCGGCACCTCCAATTATCACAACACACGCGGTTTAAAGCCAAGTTAAATAATGGATGATCACTTAGACTTCTACTTTGTAGGCCAAGGTGATTACCAAGACTGCGTTTAGTCTTTATTTAGGAAAGTAAAATTAACCTCACTTCCTCGTGGGCAGAGCGGTAATTAGATCATATTAGTGAGGTTTAATTAGGAGCAGAAATATGTAGTAATTAGCTTGTATTGTGTCGGGAGTATGAAGCGCTAAGTGAGACATATGTCAGACTAAACCTGTCAGTAAAACCACGCTGTTTCTCTACTGGTTTCCAGCCCAAGACTCCAATTATCCCATTGTGTCTGCCAAACCACGGGAGGTCAGCTGCTGTGCACAGGGTCTCCTGCTTTTCTTTTTGCAAATCGCAAACATGAAAGAGTGAGCAAATGAGAGAAGTTTCAGACCTAGGAGAAAAGGTTGCCTTTGAAAAGTGCTCCAACCTTACAGTGAGTTTTTCTCTTGTTGAGCTGACGCCTTTGAACCGAGGCATTTTCGAGATGCCTGGATGTGTGATCATTTGTTGACTTTTCAAATAGATGTGAAGGTTTTTATGTATATGACTTGTCAGAATAACTTAAAAATCTTGAGTTGAATCTTGAATAAGTATTATTTGAATCAAAGAGTCAAGTTGAGCCAGTTAGTCAAATGTAGTTAATAAACATAACTGAGACACTGTTTTACTAAATGTTTAAATTTATATGGTCCAATAAAAGGATAAAATGCATTGTAATACACAGCAATAATTATCTACATATATTAGAAGTAAAACATTTCAATACAAGACAATTGCCCAAATATAACGGG